ATGAAACTGCATGATCGTTCCGTCATCCATCATCTCCGAGAAGCATTAATATCTATGATTAATAACCATAGACATGATTTCTGCTGTTCCTCTCGTGTGTTTTCAGCTAGTGAAGGGAGACTGCATTTATCCAGCATGGTTGTGTTGCCACCCAGTGGAGGATGGATGTTCTGCACTAGTGAGGTGGTGTACGATCGTTTTCACAGGTTGATCAAGTTCTCAGTTATGTGTTTTGGGGGTTTTAAGTCATATAAATCCTTTATGAGAAATCACTAGTCGTCATCCAGTAAGATTACAGAGCTGTAAAAGTGGAGGAGCACAACCGAACGCTTTTTGACTTTCTCAGATTGTGAGAAATTAATTTCACACGTCTAGAACAATGTGGTTTTGTTTTATTAATAGTGTTTACTTTTTTCTTGATTTACCCTGAAAGAATGGAAGTGAGTGTGACAAAATGCCCCATAGGTGGAGTATAACATGACCATATGACAGATTAACATGTTATCTGATCTAATCCAAAAATATAAGACAAATTCAAATATTTTGTCAATAAAATAATAATAACTTTTTCATATAAAATAAAAAAAAATTAATAATTAAAAATAAAGTAATTTTTGAGTTTGACAACACACACACACACACCTCAAAACCTCTATACAGCATAAAACATAATAATAATTTCTAAACATTAACTCTCAGTCTTTATTGACCTTTTTCTCATGGTTTCTCAATAGAGTATAGAATAGAATATCATAGTTCTAATAGAGGCTCATTGTAACACTGTGACAACATGCCCCGCCTGTGCAACTGGGGTTTAAACCCTGCGAGTGTCTTCTGCTGGTTAGATCAGCATTAAATAACAGATATAAGATTAAAATAACACAATAATGTTTAAATAAATAAATGTTCATTGATTTCTTCCCAATATTGCTGAATTCTGGTGCATTTTTCTCTATATAGTGTTGACATAGCCACTAGTAAATACACAAACACACACACAGTAAAGTCTGGTTCATTTCACGTTTAAGTTCTCAATAATTTATTGTTCAGTCAGAGTGTTAACTGGTTTTGAGATGATTTATATTCTCCAGCCTCTGTTCCAGTGACCTGAACCCACAGTTTATAGACGACGTTGACCAGTGTTGGGGTTTATAGACGATGAGTTTATAGACGATGTTGACCAGTGTTGGGGTTTATAGACGATGAGTTTATAGACGATGTTGACCAGTGTTGGGGTTTATAGACGATGAGTTTATAGACGACATTGACCAGACGTTGACCAGTGTTGGGGTTTATAGACGATGTTGACCAGTGTTGGGGTTTATAGACGATGAGTTTATAGACGACATTGACCGGTGTTGGGGTTTATAGACGACGTTGACCAGTGTTGGGGTTTATAGACGATGAGTTTATAGACGATGTTGACCAGTGTTGGGGTTTATAGATGATGAGTTTATAGACGATGTTGACCAGTGTTGGGGTTTATAGACGATGAGTTTATAGACGACATTGACCAGACGTTGACCAGTGTTGGGGTTTATAGACGATGTTGACCAGTGTTGGGGTTTATAGACGATGAGTTTATAGACGACATTGACCGGTGTTGGGGTTTATAGACGACGTTGACCAGTGTTGGGGTTTATAGACGATGAGTTTATAGACGATGTTGACCAGTGTTGGGGTTTATAGATGATGAGTTTATAGACGATGTTGACCAGTGTTGGGGTTTATAGATGATGTTGACCAGTGTTGGGGTTTATAGACGATGAGTTTATAGACGATGTTGACCAGTGTTGGGGTTTATAGATGATGAGTTTATAGACGATGTTGACCAGTGTTGGGGTTTATAGACGATGTTGACCAGTGTTGGGGTTTATAGACGATGAGTTTATAGACGATGTTGACCAGTGTTGGGGTTTATAGACGATGAGTTTATAGACGACATTGACCAGACGTTGACCAGTGTTGGGGTTTATAGACGATGTTGACCAGTGTTGGGGTTTATAGACGATGAGTTTATAGACGACATTGACCGGTGTTGGGGTTTATAGACGACGTTGACCGGTGTTGGGGTTTATAGACGACGTTGACCGGTGTTGGGGTTTATAGACGACGTTGACCGGTGTTGGGGTTTATAGACGACGTTGACCGGTGTTGGGGTTTATAGACGACGTTGACCGGTGTTGGGGTTTATAGACGACGTTGACCGGTGTTGGGGTTTATAGACGACGTTGACCGGTGTTGGGGTTTATAGACGACGTTGACCAGTGTTGGGGTTTATAGACGACGTTGACCAGTGTTGGGGTTTATAGACGACGTTGACCAGTGTTGGGGTTTATAGACGACGTTGACCAGTGTTGGGGTTTATAGACGACGTTGACCAGTGTTGGGGTTTATAGACGACGTTGACCAGTGTTGGGGTTTATAAACGACGTTGACCAGTGTTGGGGTTTATAGACGACGTTGACCAGTGTTGGGGTTTATAGACGACGTTGACCAGTGTTGGGGTTTATAGACGACGTTGACCAGTGTTGGGGTTTATAGACGACGTTGACCAGTGTTGGGGTTTATAGACGACGTTGACCAGTGTAGGGGTTTATAGACGACGTTGACCAGTGTTGGGGTTTATAGACGACGTTGACCAGTGTTGTGGTTTATAGACGACGTTGACCAGTGTAGGGGTTTATAGACGACGTTGACCAGTGTTGGGGTTTATAGACGATGTTGACCAGTGTTGGGGTTTATAGACGATGAGTTTATAGACGATGTTGACCAGTGTTGGGGTTTATAGATGATGAGTTTATAGACGATGTTGACAAGTGTTGGGGTTTATAGACGATGAGTTTATAGACGATGTTGACCAGTGTTGGGGTTTATAGACGATGAGTTTATAGACGATGTTGACCAGTGTTGGGGTTTATAGACGATGAGTTTATAGACGACATTGACCAGACGTTGACCAGTGTTGGGGTTTATAGACGATGTTGACCAGTGTTGGGGTTTATAGACGATGAGTTTATAGACGACATTGACCAGTGTTGGGGTTTATAGACGACGTTGACCAGTGTTGGGGTTTATAGACGACGTTGACCGGTGTTGGGGTTTATAGACGACGTTGACCAGTGTTGGGGTTTATAGACGACGTTGACCAGTGTTGGGGTTTATAGACGACGTTGACCAGTGTTGGGGTTTATAGACGACGTTGACCAGTGTTGGGGTTTATAGACGACGTTGACCAGTGTTGGGGTTTATAGACGACGTTGACCAGTGTTGGGGTTTATAGACGACGTTGACCAGTGTTGGGGTTTATAGACGACGTTGACCAGTGTTGGGGTTTATAGACGACGTTGACCAGTGTTGGGGTTTATAGACGACGTTGACCAGTGTAGGGGTTTATAGACGACGTTGACCAGTGTTGGGGTTTATAGACGACGTTGACCAGTGTTGTGGTTTATAGACGACGTTGACCAGTGTAGGGGTTTATAGACGACGTTGACCAGTGTTGTGGTTTATAGACGACGTTGACCAGTGTTGGGGTTTATAGACGACGTTGACCAGTGTTGGGGTTTATAGACGACGTTGACCAGTGTTGGGGTTTATAGACGACGTTGACCAGTGTTGGGGTTTATAGACGACGTTGACCAGTGTTGGGGTTTATAGACGATGAGTTTATAGACGATGTTGACCAGTGTTGGGGTTTATAGACGATGAGTTTATAGACGATGTTGACCAGTGTTGGGGTTTATAGACGATGAGTTTATAGACGATGTTGACCAGTGTTGGGGTTTATAGACGATGAGTTTATAGACGATGTTGACCAGTGTTGGGGTTTATAGACGATGAGTTTATAGACGACATTGACCAGACGTTGACCAGTGTTGGGGTTTATAGACGATGTTGACCAGTGTTGGGGTTTATAGACGATGAGTTTATAGACGACATTGACCAGACGTTGACCAGTGTTGGGGTTTATAGACGACGTTGACCAGTGTTGGGGTTTATAGACGACGTTGACCAGTGTTGGGGTTTATAGACGATGTTGACCAGTGTTGGGGTTTATAGACGACGTTGACCAGTGTTGGGGTTTATAGACGACGTTGACCAGTGTTGGGGTTTATAGACGACGTTGACCAGTGTTGGGGTTTATAGACGACGTTGACCAGTGTTGGGGTTTATAGACGACGTTGACCAGTGTTGGGGTTTATAGACGACGTTGACCAGTGTTGGGGTTTATAGACGACGTTGACCAGTGTAGGGGTTTATAGACGACGTTGACCAGTGTTGGGGTTTATAGACGACGTTGACCAGTGTTGTGGTTTATAGACGACGTTGACCAGTGTAGGGGTTTATAGACGACGTTGACCAGTGTTGGGGTTTATAGACGACGTTGACCAGTGTTGGGGTTTATAGACGACGTTGACCAGTGTTGGGGTTTATAGACGACGTTGACCAGTGTTGGGGTTTATAGACGACGTTGACCAGTGTTGGGGTTTATAGACGATGAGTTTATAGACGATGTTGACCAGTGTTGGGGTTTATAGACGATGAGTTTATAGACGATGTTGACCAGTGTTGGGGTTTATAGACGATGAGTTTATAGACGACATTGACCAGACGTTGACCAGTGTTGGGGTTTATAGACGACGTTGACCAGTGTTGGGGTTTATAGACGACGTTGACCAGTGTTGGGGTTTATAGACGACGTTGACCAGTGTTGGGGTTTATAGACGACGTTGACCAGTGTTGGGGTTTATAGACGACGTTGACCAGTGTAGGGGTTTATAGACGACGTTGACCAGTGTTGGGGTTTATAGACGACGTTGACCAGTGTTGGGGTTTATAGACGACGTTGACCAGTGTTGGGGTTTATAGACGACGTTGACCAGTGTTGGGGTTTATAGACGACGTTGACCAGTGTTGGGGTTTATAGACGATGTTGACCAGTGTTGGGGTTTATAGACGATGTTGACCAGTGTTCGGGGGGGAGGTGATGTCGCTGG